TTTCCTTTTTTTTTTCTTCCTTTTTTTTTGCCTGAAGCACAGAGAGGAAGATCATTTTATGATATAAGTAAAAGTTTCAATTTATCCTAGGGGTATATTATTGACTATTCTTCGTAACTACACTACGAAGCATGGGCTGTGCAGTGTGTGTAACCAAATAAACCTATACCTGATTCTAGGTGAAATGTATCACCACCACATAAGCAGAGTTAACTGAAGAAAAAGCTCAAATATGAATTGAGGAAGACTTCCATCTATGTCAAAAACAAGTAGACAACCAGTATTGCTTTTAATTCAGCAAGGTAATAAATATTGGAGTATGAGCCACAAAAACCTTCTTATGGTACATGTGTACAGCAGTTTCTTATATAAAGTCATCCTTACTTGTAAAGGCTGAGTACATGTAGTACACGTAAAGCTGATGTAGGTCATTCCTTAGAGACTGTTCAAGGCCTTGAGGATTGTGGAGACTGTAAAATGAAAAACTAGGCGAAGTGTAATTATTATTTTCCAACAGCTATTCCTAACTAACTGAATTAAACTAACTCTAAATTTGTAGTGCTGGTGAAATTTTGCAAATATATTTTCTCACCAGGCTGGTTCCTTCTGTATTCCTTTTCTGTAATACAACTCAGAACCTTTCCAAGTTCCTCTGTAGTACAGGAATGAAATTTAGACAAATTTGGCTCATACTAGTGATAAGATATTCTTCATAGCCTCAATGCAGTAAGTATCCTCATTGCGTTCTGCAGGGTATTACTGCTTCCAAGTAGTAAACACACCTCATTAAAACACATCCCTTCTCTGTCTTTGTCAGCAGGCAGTGTTTACCTGGGTGGGTGATTAATGTTTCGCCAGTTTGGTAGATCTAGTCAAGGATCCTTGTTCCCTTTACCAACAGATCCTCAAAGTCTAGAAAGCAAGATCTTCCTGTTTGCAATGAAACTATTAAAGTGGCATAAACTCTAGGTATAATTACTAGATCTTAAGAATAAGTTTAGGACTGAGCAAAATGAAGCTGGTGCCCTGTTTTGAAACTGCTCGAAGAGTTGCTGACTGCTCTGACAACCTTTTTATCCCCCTCAGTCCACAAATCTGTGACGTGGGTGCTTTGTGCTGCTGAAGAGCACGACAAATGGTTTCATAACATATTTTCACTACCTCAAAATCCTTTCAAAGACCTGAAAGCTTAGTGCCAATTTATCAGGATGCAAAACAGATACCATCTGCTTAGTCACTCTGCCTGGATTTTTTTGCTTTCCTTTCAGGTGATCAGTCTATGACAAGTTTCTTTTTTTTTTTCTTTTTTTTTTTTTTTTGCCCTCAAGTAATAGCCATTGCAAATAGGACCTTCTGGCAGAGCAGCATGCACAGATTTTTGCTCATTTATTTCTGAGTTTGGAGGTGTAAAAATGTAGCCCCTGTTTCTTGATGCTTGATTGTCAAGACAATGTCTTTATACCATGTTGTGAAGGAATTTGAATCTGATTTTTCTTTTTGCCTATTCCTTTTGCAACAACATATTCTAGAATAAACATACAGGAAGGATGAGAAAAGACGTCACAAAATGGCATTCGCTCTTTATCATAGGTACAAAATTAATCCAGAAAAAGGGAAAATCAATACGTTTCAATAAAAAATCTACATTCTTTTTTATCCTGTTACACATAGTTAATTATGTTACTAGATAGAACTTTAAACATTTTAGAACACAATTTGCTAGTGTTATGTGAGGTTCTGCATGGAAGTCAATAAAATTGGCTTTAAGAATTATACTAGGAAACATAGGGTCTATAATAACATAGCAATTTAACATTTTTTCATGTTACCCCTTTAAACAATATTGCAAGAGAAACTTTGACCATGCTAATTATTGCAAAGTAATTTTATCTTCTCTGACTTCTATAAATCCTCATAGTTATAAAATCTGTCCCTTTGTGTTTATTGAGCTGAAAGAATACTGGATCCTGTTAGATCATTTAGAGTGACCTTTCCGTAATTGTAATAGTCCCCTTGAAAACACACACAAAAAAAGTTGTAGAAAAGAACTTAGCAGCAACAGCAGTGAAAGAATGAGTTCAGCCTACTGAATCTGTGGATTAGATGAACACATGAATCTGGATTTTAATTGGTAGAAAATTAGAATGAATAAGCTCATGAGGTCCATTGGGAGATAGGGCAGATGGCCTTGGGATCAGCAAGTGATGCTGTTTCTGGAGTAGATTGTTAGCCCACCTTCTAGCCTACTCCCCTTAAAATGAAAGAAGGGAGATTAATGCATAAATGAATGCTGTGTGACTGTCGCTGAGGTGGTTTTTCAGTTCTATATAGCACAGTCAGTGGATGTGTCTGACTGAAACGTGTGGATTGTTTTCCAAAAGGGTAAAGGTTCAGTCACAGAGCCAGGGATGGAATTCTTCCCTCTATTTCAAAGTCTGGCTGTGATGCAGAAAAAAACTTAAATGATTTTATTTAGTCTGCTAAAGAAACAATTTACCTGGACCATTTTTATGCTATTCACAAAGTTTTACTTAGGCTATCCACTCCCACTATGGTGAATAGTTAGGCAATAACAAATAAGCTTTCTTCTCTTCTCGGGTGTATTGATTTCAGCCAGATGCATTTGTTGGCCTTCTATTTTTCGGCTCGTATTTTGCATGCATGAAAAAAAGCAAAGGGCCAACACATAGCAATGTTAAATTACCATTACCATTATGTCCCTTATATTTTAGCCATTTAAATCACCAGAATTTTGTCAAATGCAATTAATTGTTGCCTGGATTATTCTGTATTTGTGCAACTGACAGTTTTGCTGTAGAATTTTTTCTTCTCTACATTCTCTTTATTTGCAGTGAGAAGGCACGATATGCAACATGAACTGTCATGGTTTACTTTGGTCACAAAGCGTGGTCAGAAAAAAAAGATTTAACTTCTAAAGTACAACAGAAATGTTGTAGTCAAGACTTCCTGTCCTACCTGCTTGTCTGTTTCCAAAATGTCTGACATTGGCTGGCAGCTAGATGGATGTATTTTCGTTTGAACAATATTTGATGAAAGTCTCTAAGGTGCTCATAAGGAAGGGAGAAGCAAGATTTTTTCAGCAAATTTTGACCAGCTTATTTCCTAGTTTCAATGGAAAACAACTTGTCAAAGAGGTTGCAAACAGAAAACCTTGAAATACCCTGCTCAGACCTAAAAGACAAAAAGCTATCTACCAGACTTGCAGATTCCTTTGCCTTCTGGGACACATCTGTGAAGGATGGCCAAAGGCAACTCTTAGAAACGGTTTGTCATGATACGTCAAAAGTCAAATGCGGAAATCCCTGGGAGTAAAGAAGGGAGAGACTTCACTAGGCCGAGGCACTGTGCGCGCTCCTGCAAGGTGGCACCTGAAATCACATGCAAGGCAAAAACCAGGAGGCTGCTGTGGGCTGAGCAGAACAGGGCAGGAGGGGAAGAAGAGCTGACCAGAGAGCTGAAACGAGAGCAGGCTAGTTTGTTTTATTACTGTTTGATTTTCCTCAAAATGTAATCTCTGTGCTACAAAATTGTAGAAATTTACCATTCGCAAGTCATACCGCAAATTGTGTTAAAGTCTTGGTTACGTAACCAATATGGTATTTTGATTTTAAGCTCACAGTAGAAGTAAGAGCTCAGAGAAAATACATTCATGTTGAGGGTGGATATTTTCCCTAATCTAGTGTAGTTCTAGTCAATGCACTTCATTTAAGTTACAACAGAACACATTTATCCCTTCATCTGGTCTAGAATTCAAAATGAAATTTAATGATGACTTTAAAACTCTTGGTCTCCCATCACATACATTTTTTGTGTCCTGCAAATGCAGGAAATAAACTAAACAAAATCATTCCAAGATCAAAAATTTTTAAAACTCCTTGCACTGTCATTGCCTTTCCTTTGTTCCCCTTCCCTCTACTGATTTTACCAAAATTTGATGAAGAATTCATATTGTGATTTTTGATTCTGCATGGTGTGGGAATTTAAGGTCTGATCTAAAGTCTGTTGACACAAGCGGAAATCATTCAGTATGTTTTAGACCAGCCTCCTAGTTACAGAAATACTTCTAGCTCCTTCTAGCCTGTCGCTTGCAAGCTGCAGATACTGTTCTAACAAAATAGCTGAAAAAAAAAGACATCTGTGATGAAAAGTGGCTTTTTTTTTTTTTAGTGTTACACTGTTTCACATTCTCCTACAATAATTGAGGTTGCATTATGGATCACTGGACCATCACTCCAGGCTACCCATCTCGTATGATCACAGACAATTTAAAGAGCATATATTTTTGTACTCGCCTTTCAGTTTACAATCCCTCAACCATGCAAAGCAGTTTGTTTAAAAAAAAAAGTTTCACACATTAATAGCACATTTATAGTATAGAGCTAATCAGGCCGTAGCCGAGATTAATAGTTGGAAGGGGGTCGGGGGTGGGGACACAGCTTGAGCCCGGTGCGGTCGAGGGGATGCGGGGGAGGCTTGAGAGCCGCTCAGCCCGCAGCAGCGCGAGCGCTGGGCTCTGCTGCCCCCTTGGCCGAGCGGGGGGACGTGCAGGTATTCTTCAGAGACGGTTTATCTGTCCTTTCTGTTTAAATACATACGCTTAGATATGTAGGAAGGAGGCAGGTATCGTTTCCAGAGCGTTTGCTTGTTATACGATTCTTCTCCGTCTTCGTCCGGTCTTGTGTTACGCCTTTAGGGAAGGGAGAAGCCAGGTCCCCTCCGTGCGCGCCAAGCTGCCCTTTCTGCCGTGCGGCCATTGCAAGGCTGGGGCTCTGCGAGGAGCTCCCTGCAGAGCATCCCATCTCCCAGCTCCCGCTGCCGCCGCTTAGGGGGCTCCCCTCCTTTATGGAGGCAAAGAAAGACACAGAAACACCATTATTTGCTTAAATATATATTTAGATATATATAAATGAATAATAGAAAAGCAGTGGAGTTTGCTAATGCCTACATCCATGTGTTAGGAGCACTGTCAGCTTTTTCTCGCTATCAGACTCTCAGCCGGTGGTGTCGAGTTTGAAAAGGTTTCGTGCACTTCATTTCATCTTTGAATTGCACATGCTTGCTTTCTCATTTTAAGGCTCTTTTCTGCTTCGGAGGAAACATGTTCTGACATGCTGGAGTTTGCTGGTGGTAAATATTTCCTTTGACTACAAAGTGCATCTGTGAAAAATACTTTTTTTTTTTTTTTTCCCCATGGCAATATATTTCTTTCCGGCTTTCTTCTTTCTCTGTTGTTATTAATAACCCGTGAAAGAGTTGAATCCGAAGGTCTGTGTGAAACAGCACTTTAGCTGCATCACGCTGAGGAAGGTGCAGCAGCTCTGTATGTGCGTGTGCGGGAGATGCAAGTGCTGCTTGTGACAGTTTGCATAGCAGACTCTGTGGCAAACTAGGGGCCACAGGTGAGTCCCCAGGAGATCAGCCTTGCTGTGATTTTTGCAGGGGATTTTTGCAGCCCCTAACCACAGGGGAGAAATACGCAGCTCTCCAACTGCTCCCCAGAGTTGATGCTGCTGATTTGTTTGCATTGAAAATAACCAGGAATAGGAACTGGCAGGAAATGAAGAGTCCGTGTGCGCGGTGAGCGCTCCCCGGTGAGCGCTCGCACGCGGGCTGAGGACAGGCGGGACTGCAAAGGGTTAAGCGGCTGACTTGCTTGCTAGGCAAAGTTTGAGCAGGAATATGTCTAAGGCAGCGCACGCTGCAGCCACACGTTTGAAATCTGTCACCCTCACTTAGGAGCTCCGCGTCCCTGGCTGTCAGCAGTGAGTAACGAGCGCACGGCCGTAGCCCGCTCCGCGGCGTTGCGCCGGAGTCGCCAGGGGAAGCGGAGAGGAAATGACCAGGCGTTCAGCCTCGCCGGCCGGGTGGTCTTCAATGCCATCAGTGGGGTGTCAGGGCTAAGCGACCGGCTGGACAGCAGATTGAGAAGCAAATTTCCTTCCTCTTTTCCTTGAGAGAAACCTCGGGTGATGGTTATCAACTATGGAAAAAAGAGACCTTGGTGGTGATCCTTAAAGCAGTACCATGCCGGAGCCCAGCTCTTCTGCCGCCTTCTCCCCTCTTAACCTGCCCGACCCGGTGGGCTTTGGGTGATCTGCCAGGAGGACCTGCTCCAGCTGAAGCAGGTAACGATGGATCATTTAGTCGCTTTGTGATTGGCGCGATCTTGATTTGGCCAAAGGATGTCCCAAGTATCTTGTTCCAATTTGATGCGTGGGCTGAGTGGGGGGCTGCAGTCCGGGGGGTGTCGGGGGACCAACATAACTCCCCTCAACCTCCCCGAGACCATGGGGCATGGCAGCACCCTGCACACAAGTGTTTTTTTTCTTAACGTTTCCATTTCACTCAGCGACTAGTGGGGAGTGGAGGGGAGGGGGTGCTAGAAATGTCTGCGGATCGGCCGACATCTGCTGTGTTCTATGTTATCGACAGGTTACAGATGCTGGGAACGCAGAGAGAGACGGGTCGGGAGGGAGAGAGGATGAGGAAGGATTAGAGGGGGAATTTGTCAAGAGAAGACGCACCGTTAGGTATAAATCATGTGAAAGGTGTGCTCTGAAAAGTGTGCAGGGAGGATAAAGAAAAAGAAAGAAAAAAAAAAAAA